TATATATATATATATATATATATATATATATATATATATTTCCTTATCTTAAATTTGAACTGAGACCTATCACAAACCAGGTAAGTGCTCTATGAGTTACTGGGTTAACCCACTAACACTTGCTAGTTAGGCACTTTTTTTTTAACAATTCAAACTACTACATTCTATCTTTGGCCTAATTTCATGGTCATGGGAAAACCATTGGTTGAAATGCCTTGGATTTGAACCTAATGCCTGTCATACACTAGGCAAGTGCTTTACCAACTCAGCTAAAGGGTTAACCCTGTAGCACTTGCTAGTAAGGCACTTTTTAACAACTCAAACTTTTAGAGGTATATGTAAAATAAATTCTGAATATTCAAAGTAATGCTATTCCAGCAATGACTGCAATGGATTATACACAATACTATCTGTAAAAATTTTAAAGAAATGGTACACATTAAAAGCACTACTCACATAAAATAATCAGTCAACAGAGGCTTGCACAAATAACTGTATAATAAAGAAAATGTAGCCAATTTGTCCAATGTCTTCATTATAAAGTTGTATTTTGATAGTGAAAATACTAAACTTAAATTTCTCTTAAATGTACAGTTCTATAAAGCTTTTAAGCAGAAGATTTAATTTAGAAACATTAGATTTATCTGATAACACAAGAGCTTTTGGATAGAAGACCTTAACGGATACTCTAATACAATTATTTAAGTAACTACCACTTTTAATAAATGTTTCACCACAATAACTTGGAGGGCTATTACTTTCAAACAAACACCTACAACTGTTTACACAAGATCCAACAAAACCTCAGGGAGAACCGACACGTTTAAATACATACCAACTACTTTTAACAGCAAATTCAAACCATCACATTCACTACTTTCAAAAGATGCATCACCTTCTGCTTAAACTTTTAACATACATCAGTTACTTTTAACAAACAAGTTAAATCAACTACTTTAGAATACTTACATTTTAAATATGTATGCTACTTTTCTTGAATAAGTAAACTGTTTTCTTTAAGATACAATTTAAACATAAAGTTTACTATCAGAACTAAGTCAATAAAACATATTCAATTTAAAAAGTTATACTTAACTAACTGGGCAGTCTAATTCACAAACACCGAAAAAGTCTGGTATTATGCAGTACTTATTTTACACTAGCTTAAAGATATAGACTTTACTGTTAAGGAACAAATACTTTACATTTAATTCAAAATAATACTTTTTAATCAGACTTAGAATAAATTTACATATGAAACAAAGGTTTAGGAAATGATCATAACAATTTACAGTATTTCATCATCTAGAAGTAATAAGTAAGAGTTTGTAAATATTTACTCAGTTATAATGACGTATGTTTAACCAAACTTATAATAAACTTAAATATGAAACACCAAAGGTCTAAAAATTATCATAAGAATTTACAGTATTTTTGTATGAAAACTTTCAGAAAACCCCATAATATAAATATTTTGTTTTCTAGTATTTCATTATCTAAAAGTAATAATAATTATGGCAAGAGTTTGTAAATATTTATGATGTTATAATGAAGTATTTTAAGAAGTTGCATGATAATTCTACATACTATGACAAAACTTTGTTCTTCAAATCAAGCTCCAATTTAGCAGATTCCTTGGTGAAATTGTTAAGAGCTTCAGAGTGAAAGTAAATAAGAGTGTATATTAATAATATATCAACCACATTATATCTAGTACATTTGGTGTCCACAAGGCCTTTCACACAATAAAGTGGAAAATATTTCTACAGAAATAGAAATATTTCTTTCTAAAAAGATAGTCTACAGGGTTAAGAAATTAGCTTGCCATGGCAGTAGGCTAGTGTTAAACAATTTATGTCAGCAACAAATTATTAACCTAATTAGTTTAGTGCTGGCTCACTGTCGTGGCAAGTTTAGTCTGATCCTTTTAACTACCAATTCTTTTAAAATAAAATAAAAAAATTTTGTAATTTTCTTCTTTGAATGAATCAATATTTATCATACTGAATATATAACTTGTGTTAATAATGGCTGGAGACGGCTTGAATGGGTAATGAAGAAAAACTTTAATATAACAGCAAATGTACAACGTTTCGACAAGGTTTTGTCATCACCTGACAAACCTGCTGTTATATTAAAGTTTTTCTTCATTACCCATTCAAGCCGTCTCCAGCCATTATTAGTCTCAAAGTGGGTTCCTCGTCATCGAATATAACTTATGTGGTTGTACTTGTATCATGGATTTATATTAATATAATTATGTGACTGTTAATATCTTACTTCATACAAGTATCATGTAAAGTATCAAAAAGCACTAATGTAACATCTTCCTTTTGCATAATTATATCATAAGTGATTATACTTGAGTAAGGAAATACATTATGCTAATACAATAATAGGTAGGTAAACAATGATTTATAAGCATAAGGAAGACAGCTCAATATTCTGTTAAAACATGTAGTATGTTACACCATCAATAAAACTTTTCCTTATGCTTATAATTTGTGGTTTGCCTACCTATTATCATAAGTGATTAAGTAACTTAATGACATCATTCAAGACAGTTTATGTAACTTATACATTATTGAATTATGTCAGCTTAAATGTTAGCAGCATTTTCAATACCACATGTTTCACAATTATTCGTTTAATTTGATTACTTTAGAAAAATTTCCAATCAGAAAAACTTTGATTCAAAAGTTTATCACTGAGGAATGATTAAAAATTTTACATTACATTACCAACATTCATTATTATGTTATTGACAGTTTTAATCCCTTTGAAATCTTTGTTTTCTTTTACTAAGGAACATTATAAAAATTAATATACAAGTTCCTCTGTCATAAACACGTTTTCATTTCACATCTTCCAAATTTTACTTTTTTTTTTTACATATACTGAAACTGGTTGGATTATGACCTAAAAAATCTGAACTCAGTAAAGTATGACTAAAAAAGGAAATGCAAGATAAAGCATCTTTATACACTGAGTACTGAGTTTCTAATCAAACAAAAATAAATTAAACTTCAAAGTAAACACCTACTAAACAAACTTAGTTTGAGCACAACAGGTGAAGGATTATAGTTTTGGTATAAAAGCTGATAATTCAAAAACATGCAGATATTTCCACAACAGTATTAAAAGAAATATTTCAAGGAATGCAATATATGATAAAATGATACTTTTTTACCACAATAAATTATCTAAAGCTTGAATGCTTGCCAGAACAACTAAATGGTCAATATGTATTTGTTCTGTTACATAAAAGGATTATTAGTTGGGGTCCAAGGTGAGGATGATGCCAAACCATCCAGTGGAAGGACTGATTGTGAATTTGTCGGTCCTGTTAACTCCGAAGCAAACCTAGGTTGTTGGATTCTCAGTTGATTAATTGTTGGAGGTGGAGCCCTTAATGCTTCAAAGGGATTACTGTAGGTCTGTCCAGCAAAGGGATTGGTAGCAGTGCTTGATGCTACAATAGAAAATAGATCTTAAATAACAAAGCAGAACAAACCAATTTGTGCTTATGAAGTGCAGATAGCTTTTCTTGCTATAAAACACTGAAGTAGAAAAACTTCTCTTGCCATAAGACTTCTGAAAGTGGAAATCTTAGGTTCAAGTATATACATAAAATAAAAACATTTACTGAATCATCAACATTCTTTTTTTCTGTCCAGCATGGATAATTATTTTTACAATTATCTTGAGCTGTCGTAAATACAGCAACCATATGCTGTGCATTCAAATGCTTGGTATTAAAAATAATGATGTGTAAAAAAAGTATTTTTTTATTCTTTAATTGATAATTCCACATACAACTGATAGAGCTGCAGTCTAAGTTTCTATTCAAAACTTGCTGGAAGCTTCCACTCGTACTTGCTACTCAACTTGTAAACAAAACATAACTTACTGAATTATGTTTGCTTAAATGTCAGCAGCGTTTTTTACATAATTTTTAAGTACCCACAAGTAATTTACTTATTCTTACAGTGGTGTGTAGTCGGGGCATGCAAGCCATTCACGCCATGACAAATCAGAAAACTAAAAACGTTGTGATAACATTATACAATGAAACGTGTCTTTAATATTTATTATTATTTTGCCATTTGTTTATTGTTTGTTTTTTTGGGCTGCATCATCATCATCATCATCTCATGCTGCAAAAGCTCTGCATGTTTAGTCTCGATCATGTTATGGTACACGAATTCTTTATGCCCAACCTTGTTTTCTGAAGTGATGTCACTATCACCTGTCGGTAAAACATTGCAAGACGTGACATTTTAAAACAGTATGACAGCTGAATGTGCAGAAGTTCAATATCAACAATGTACAGGTTTTTCTCTTTTGCAACATACCTGTAGTACTGCAATTATATGCATACTTGCTGGATAATAACAGGATATACAAGATGTTGCAAAACTTTTAAGTAACTTTTAAAGAGCATTGAGAACAGAGAGCTAGTATCACTGTAACCTTTGGATAATAAGTATTTATCCATTTAACTAATTTTTTTTCATGATTTTATTCAACGTGTTATTTTTTTTTTTCAGTAACGTGCAACTGCACTCATCAACTTTCGGTCTAAAAATTTCTCATGAACATAACTAGGGCATACACTTTAAGAGTTATTATTAATATTATTACTATTATACAACATTGTATTTATATTTCAGCATTACTTTCTGCAAAATCTGAAGTCCATCAAACTTATGGAAGAAAATTATCAAGTATCCTACCTTGATCCATTTGTTTGGTAATTACTAATGAATCCAAGTTAACAAGGTTTGCATTTGGTCCTAGGAAGCTTTCTGGTGTTCTTCTAGCTTCCTTCACCTTTTGCTGCTCTAGATCTGAGTAGTGGGATCCTCTTATCTCTAAGATTTCAAGTGGGTTAGGAGACATTGTTCTGTGATCATCTCGAACAATATTATAACTCTCAAAACCTAGTCAAGTTAAAATACAACTTAAGCTAAAACTCAAAAACTCAAGCTCACCTAAATACTAGAATTTCTCCTATAAAACCATAACTTAATCTTTAAATGCAGCAAATCTTAGTCTCAGATTTTATATATTTTTTAAACCTTGAACTAACTAGTATTAAGGTTATGTAACAAAGTTACACATTAAATAATTTCTCTATTAAGAACAAAAAATAAAGTGTAACAGTTCTAGTATAGTTAATTTCAAGAGTCTGCCTTGATAGGATTAGTTCAGAAATAAATTTAAGTCAGTTTTTGATGACTTACTCATTTAATCAGACCAGACTCAACAAAGAATAAAAAATATAGTGGTGAAACAGTGTCCCACAACCAATCTAACAACAAAAAAATACCTGTTGGAACAAACAATGAATATTCTCTTACATAACAACTCTCAACAGAAATCAACATTCTTGACCTTCCTGTTATATTCACAATAGGGAATAAAGTGACTCACATAAATCAAAAACTTGACTTGTGAAATAAAACATTGCAACTTTATGAGTGAGATTTAACTTATAGGTGTCCTTTAACTTTATCAACAACTAGAGGCACAACTCATAACTTAACCAACTTTTGAAAAACCCAGAAAAAAAAATGGTGTCACTATGAAAACCAAAGATTTTTTTATCAAATTAAGTCAAGTTTTCCTTAAAGAAATTTAGACACACAGCTGTGTAAGCTTTCACAAATAAGAATATTGTACATTACTTAACACAAAGTGCTACCTCCATACCTTTCATTATCATGTTCCTTATTTATGTAATATAATTTGAATAGTTAGCAAAAGTATAAAAAAGATGTAATCAGGTAAAATGGCTTTTAAGCTTATAAAATAATCTTCTGCAAAGACATGAAAATGTACTATCAAAAAATCAACCTAAAAGGCTGGCGATATGTAATTCAAAAATGTAAATAAAACAAGCAGCAGTATCTGTAGAAAAATAACTCAAAAGAAAAGGTTTGATTTCCTTTAGGATATGTAAATGTTCTTACAATCAATACATAAAATTGTAAAAGAAGAAAAAAAAGTCTTCCTATCACAGTGTTAAAACAGGAAGAAAAGGAAAATATTGGTTAGAAGCACTCATTGATGCGGACACTGATAATTTTGTTCAAAAGGTTTGAATACATATTATTTTGATTGATAAAAATATTTTTTTGCATGAATAAGACAATGCATATTTAGTTATGATCATTAGGTTCCCAAGGTATACTACTGTATAGTGTACAAAAATATACTATTGATAAGCCTTTTTTCTATAGTATATACTGTACTGTACACAGAAATATATGTTAAATTGTTAAAAAGTAAATTTTTCTTGGGAGGGATATTGTTCATATTATGATTGTATGTATTACCTTCCAAATGTAATATAACAAGTTATCAGCTTGGGGTTACATCATATATAACAGATATTACCCTTATTTTCAAGTTTAATGACTTGGCTGAAATATCCTGAACTGTACTGAATAATCACTTTAAACAGTGAAAATTTCAATACTTAAACCAAAAACTAACTTGGAAGATATCAAAATAAAACATTATTAATAAACCTTTTTAATTTCAAAAACATATTAAAAGCTTTGGCTCTCTTATGCAATAAACCTTACAAATACTTCTTAGACCAGATGACTAGGGCAAATCTACATTATAAGCAAGAATGCCTTGGGTTTTGTATTTTGTTAGTAATGTGATTATAAATGTAATTAAGGTCCAATTTGGTTTTTCTTGTAAGTCCAAGAATTGGTCCTGTTCAATGAGTTTAGTGTGCCTATCACTTAATATGTATTTCAAAACTACTAAAACTCTTGTATAATCAAAAATTCTCTCTAGGACTACAAATAAGATTTGCCTCATTTTGAATAAAATTCACAAAATCTTTATGCAATCTCTATGAATAACTCACTACATGTGAAAATAAGTTATTTCCAGGGTGATATTTTTTATCATAATCCTAAGGCTTTCTATACCCTTCTCCACCCAACAAGGCTCTGCCCTCAATCCATCAAGACCTCTTAGGTTCCTAGACCCCTCGATAAGTTAAGTGTCTGGTAAAATTTCCTTAAATTAAGCCTTGTTAGAACAATACAAGTAATATTTGACAAAACCACAACTTTCAAATTTTATAATTATCATAGACATACATCTTAGTGTCTATTTATTAAGCCATTCACCACGATTTTTTTAAAAAAAAACTATTAATGCTTCGAAGTTATGTGACCACTTTTCCACATATTTTATAATAGTATAATATTCAAGCTGACTTAAATTTGCATTTTATTATATATCCAAGATCCCTCTTTGTTCAATTGACATTTTTCTTTAACCAATTTATACTTAATTTCATTCATAATTTCTTAATTTGAAAACTAATTTGTGAATAAACACGCATTTGACGCTTGAAAAACAAATGTCATTCTTCTGAAAATTCTGGGTAATTGGGATTCTCATAATAATTAGTGAAGTCAACATGTAGGCCTGTGTGAATTAGTAATAAAAACCTCACTCCTAATGAGAATATGAAACAAATTTCTTTGCATGAGGCATAGAAAATATACAATTACAAATTAATCAACAACCCAATAATTCACAAATTTATAAATGCTGAGCCTGTATGGTTTTATGACTAGTTTCTCCAATAACCTGATATCCAAAGTAATATATTTACATAATCTCTGTTACAGCTTCAAAACTATGCATGAAAAAATGATCACACAACTAGACTTCTTCAGAATTTGGGAAACATAGTAAGATAATAATTAACAGCCACTTTCTAAACAAACCGTTTAGTCCTTTAATCTTCCATGTCCACTGCTTGTACTTGTTCTTCACAATTGAGTTGCAAAGTGCAGCAGTTCTATTCAAAACCACTCAATGACCATCAATTCTGGACGTACCCTCCATCCAGACTACTAAGAGTTACCTAAGTTAATTTGCTTATCTGTAGAACTTTTGATATTTGGATCATTTGGTTCAACATATTTTTCAGCATGGTCTTTCCCTTTACTTTTCCTTTACCTGTATCTTTTCCATTTCCAGATCTAGTTTGTCATCAAATTTTTGAATTAAAATGTTTTATATTTCTTAAAACAAGGACCTGTCTAAAGTATTTGCCACAAATCTCTAGTTTTATTTGTGTCCCTTTGTAGTTCTAGTTCTAAAGAAATAGGAAAACCAGAGAATTGCGATAAGTCTCTCACTTTAGTCATTTCTTGAAAATCCCACTTTTCAAATTGGTAGATATGAGAATAGTACAAAAGTTTCTAAAATGGAACTTTGGATTGGGTTGGTTTGAATTTCACACAAAATTACATGAGGGCTATTTACATTAGCTGTCCCTAATTTAATAGTGAAAGATTATGGCGAAAGCAGCTAGTCATCACCACTCATTGCAAACTCTTGGAGCTACTCTTTTACAAATGAATATTGGGATTAACTGTCACCTTTTAACACCTCCATGATTGAAAGAGAGAGTATATTTGGTGAGACGAGAGATTCGAACCTGCGACGTGCAGATTGCAAGTCGATCTACTTAACCACCTGGCCATGCCAGGCTGAAACTACTGGATGACAAAGATGACTTTGCAGAATGTTTATGCTTTAGTTTTTAAATAATATTGTGAATGGCTAGATTGTTCATTGATCAATGTTTTCACAACAGTAGCCACCCAGCTTGTTTCACTCTACTGGTCTCCAGACCACTAATTCCAGCTTATCTGCCTTCTTTTGCTAGTACTAACCAGGATCAGTTCTATAAAGTATTGGATTCTAATGACCATTTCACTTTGGTCAGCCCAAATGTGATTTCCACTGTTTTGTAGTCTTTCTTAAGGTAACTGATCTCATCATTACCACCATGGGATCATCTTCTACATTAGTCTCAAACATCCATATTATTAACATTAATGTTCAATGTCTATGGCTTCACAGCTAACTGCTGTTTGATTCTTTGTCAGAGAAGCCAAATTCTCTTCTGGGTGACTCAAATGTTAGCCCATTCTTGCTGATGCTAATTTTTTGCTATTTATCAATCTTGTTGAGCTATCTTCCAAAGAGGATGAAATTGCCATTCTATATCTTATCTATCTCCATCTTCTCAACAAATTGCTTCCTTTTTCATGTTTCATGATTGTAGCTTATTAGCTTCTATAGCCAAGTATAGAGCTCCCTTATCTGTGACCTGTTGATATCATAGGAGTCAATCTCTTTTGTCCCCATTGTTCAAAGATGTGTTCTGAGCTTTTTGTCTACAATATCCTAAAGTTCCTAGAAATTATCCAAAGTGGGACTTGGACTTTGTTTTATGTTTCTAAACTTCTTTTGAAATTATAGAACAAACCTTTTTGTTTGCTTTACCATATTTCCCTAAAGACATATCTATTTTTGTTTGCATTATACATTACATACAATATTTTCTCAAAAGGTGCTATATTTATATCTAGACAGAACCTTCCTACTTAAGGTGTAAGGGGATCTCACAAAAAAAAAAAAGAGGAGGATGAGGTGGTTGTTTATATCTTATGATGAATCATGTTCCTTGAATCTTGCTCCAACAGCATTATAAAATTAGCTGTCTTGTTTATTGTAATGTATACGATCATCTTAAGTATTTTACAGGTTTCATCTCCCCAAATTCAACCATTGGTAATTTCTTTGGTGTTTCAATCACAGTACCAATTGGAGGATGTGTGAATGAATCCAAATATATTTTTCAATTTTTGTTTACATCATATTACTGTCTATTTGGCTTTAGGATTATTTTTGTCTCGTTTGGTGGAATCCCTAACACGTAAATTAAATTACACTCCTATAAGAAAACATAACAACAACAGAAACCTTTACAGTCTCTCTCTCTCTTGTAATATGATCTTCCATGTTTAAGAAGTTTTGTTCAATCAGAACTCTTAAATATTTCCTTTTATGTCTGGGCCTCCATAAGAGGGTGATGTCTCTGGAAATGGACAGAGAATGCCATCCTGCTGGTGTATGATACCTCAGTTGGTACCTTTTTCCACTTTTGTGTGACATCCTTGCATTGCATTTCAAGAAATCTAAGATGTGATGACCATTTTCCAATGTCACATGGACAGTGGTAAAGTGGAGAAATTTGGGTAAGTTGACATAATGTAATGCATTGTGTCAAGGAAATTAAGAACCAAAAGTCACACAGTTGTTGATAGTTTGAAAACAACTGAATACGAAAAGGTTTACAATATTTCATAAGTATCTGCTTGCAATTAATTTCAATAAAAAAAATGTGAAAATATAAATAAAAATGTTAATATATTTGAAAACATTATCACTATACAATAAAAAGTTTGAAATAAGCACCATTTTTGATATTCTAAATTTTTTTCACAGATGGTGGTATTTTCAATGATTTAAACAGATTTCTTTTATACAAGTTCTAACAGCTTTTGAACCAGTAGTACATATTTATTGTGTATAAAGAAGCCAGTACTTATCAACTCACATGTATAATGTGAAAGACAAAAATGGAGAATTTAAAACTACAACCTAGTACTTTAATCCTGATAATAAATCAAAGAAACTTTAAAATAATACTACTCATGCATCAAGATCTGGTAAATTCAGTCATAACCTTCTAATTACTGATTTGTTTTTATACATTTCATTACTGGTAGAATGCATCATATAAATTACTTTTTTGTTTACCTGGTATAAAAAACACAGCTGTAAAGAACTGACCAGAAAAATTGGGAAAAATGATACCATTTTCTATGTAATGTAAATGAAACCCAAGCAATAATTAGTGACACTAACTACAATATCGATTTTTTTCTGGACCCTCACTAATTCTGAAGTTAATCTGAGATATTACTTTAATTCTGGGATCAACAAACCTTAGCCCTGCACCTAACAAACCCTATATTAATTCTTGGCCTAACAAAACACAACAAATGAAAAAAAAAAGAAGAAAAATATGGGTTTAAAGAAAATATATCCAACTCTTGGACTGAAAAATCTTATACAAATTTGCACAAAGTATTCATAGATAAAATTAATTACACAACTTCACCTTAATCTACATAAACCCTATCAAGCCTTTGATATTGGCAAGTATTACAAAAACCAGATCTTTAGCTTCCTACCAGGAGTATTACCTGAGGTTTGTTTTCTCAATTCAAAGTCTTCTAGTTCTCCTAAGCTTGACTTTGATCTCTGTGGAGGTGCAGGAGCAAAAATGTCAAAAGGGTCCGAGATAACAGGCTGGCTGCCCCAGGAATTGGTAGCTGCAGATAAAACTACAGGTGTTCCACCCCAAGGATCATTAGCTGTAGCTATATTTGTAGCAATTAATCAAAAAATTGAATAATTAGTACAGGACTTTATTTATAGAAAACATGTGCATATAATTACATGTAACTACAGAACATACTTGGCACCTGCAACAACATGGCTTTAAACTCTACAGTTCATAATTTCTAAACTTTCTGAAAACGCAAGATCCTTACACCTGAGTTACATCTTTTTTTTTAATGGCATTCAACTTTGAGACAGATATAATTGTTCCTGAACATTTTGTTTTATTGAATCTTCAAATAAACAAGTTTTTCTTCAATCTCCATATCACTAACCATTTCTTTTCTTTGGTCTTTATTAATACTTGCATGTCGTATTCAAAAGTTTTAATTTAAACTTTGGCAAATATAAAATCTAGGAAATAACAATATTTTACTTGCAAAAATTAATCTTTAATATTCAGTTTTATGCTGACCTTTATTCAGAAGTAAAATCCAAGAATTATAACTTTATTAAAAAACAAGTAATCACTGTACACTTCATCTTTATGTCAGCCATATAGGTACTTCACAAACCTAGAACATCTTGCAAAATGCTATGGAAAAACTGAAAATCAATGCACAAATAGTTTTATGATTGTTGAGAAGAATTCAAGTTACAGGGACTTAGAAAAGGTATGAGATGTGTAGAAATGATAGGTTTTATCATAAGAGACCTTCTTAGTGTCTGTGAAATTATATTTAAAACTGGAAAGGAAATGATTATGTATTGTATTAGAGGTTACTGTGAAAGCTTGTTGAAAAACATGTAAGTCCAAGAATATATATATATATATATATATATATATATACACACACACACACACACACACACACATATACATACATATATGTGTGTGTATATACATATACATGTGTGTGTGTGTGTGCAGAAACTAATATTTACTGAATGTTTAGACATCGCTGAAAGTAAATAAATAAATATTTCAGAATAAAATGTTGTGAAATATAAGAGCTGTTATGTTTCACAGAAAATTTATCTATTTAGTAAGATGAGCAAAAAAAGGTTGAGAACCACTGTTTTACATCATCGTAGTAATAATATTGAATTTTCCAAACTGTTAACAACTATAATGAAAACATTTCATTAGAACCAACCAGTAGCATGTTATCTGCAGCTATGCAATAATTTCATTATAAGCTATTCAATGCTTTTATAAATATTAGAAACAAACATAATACAACATTAATAAGTGACAATAATTAATTACAAGGGTTGTTTGCAGGGTGGTGCAAGTGCACTGCCAATTTTAAAACTGTGTACAATGCATCACCAATATTTTCATTCCACTGCTTGAACACTGAGTAAGCATATTTTCATTCCTCCAGTAAAGCAGTCAAAAATCATCACAGTTCTCTTTATGTTACTAGTAGTAATTTGCATATTTCTTGGAATTATACATGGCTCAGGTTAGTGGTTTATCTACAATTTTGGCCAGTGGGGAAACTTCTTATTACTCTCAAATGTTTTCTTACTAAGGCAGTGACTCAGTATGCATTAGTATAAGCCACAAGGTAGTGAGAAATTTAGCATTCATAATTGATTTGTCAAAAAGTTACGTTTTTGGTCATGAATGACTTTTGAAATTCTACATTAATGACAACACTTTGGAATTTTGCATCTGCTTTACCAGCATTAATCTGTAATTCATTTTTAACAAGACATACTAAAACAAGCATAAATCCATTTTTGTGAACAGTTTTGTACAAACAAGACTGGCTTTTCAGCTTGAGCAATCACCATCTTTGCAATAGACAATTTCTAAATTTTCATTTTACTAATTCTTATAGTACATGGGGACAAAAGTTTTGAATAAGATATCAGAGTTATAGGAAACAATAAATGCATTTAGTGTGGTGCATCAGGGCAGATATTGTTGGTGTTTATTTTTTGCTACTGCCTATAATATTTTCTTCTTTTTTTTATCAAATGCCACTGTAGTTCCTCAACTTCCTTAATTTTGGTACCTGGCAAACATAATTGACACATATTCTTAGAAAGCCATAATCATCGAAGATGGAACTTTTGGTTTTTGGCTATAAAGCTGACTGCAAACCTGTATTTTGTTACTGGATACTTTACACACATTTGTTCAGCTTCCTTCCTGATTCAGAATTTGAGGGTCCAAAGGACTCTTTATCTTACAATTTTGAAAGTCCAAAGAAAATGTTGGTGTCCCTGTACTGAGTGTAGTAAGATGCAAGTTTTGAGGCCATGCACATAACAGTATTTTTTGTTGGGTGATGTTGACAACCACACTGCAAAGGGTCAATTTGGTCTAATATCACATTATTATATATTTGGTTCTAAGATGAGTTGCACTTTTCAATTTTTTTTCTCACTATTAATAATGAATATTGTGCAGAAAATGTGGTGTGTAGGATATCTACTGAATATTCTAACCACAGATTTATAAAGTATTATTTATTCTACATTTTTACTTATATTTCATACAGCAAAGTTATCATGTCAAGAGCAGGCAGCAGAAAGAGCAGTCTACAAATGAAATTTACCAATTCTTTTAATACCAGAAATAGCAGTTTAGTAGATAATAAGCAGTATAGCTTAATAATTAAAGAAATTATGCATAATTTAACAAATAAACACATATCAGTTAATGAGCTCTTGAAAGTCTCTGGTCTTTGAAACCATTTTTATCCAAAACCATTAAGTTTGGGTTTATGTTCTACAAAGGTCCATGAGTTGGAAATGAGACTGATGCCAATTTTAGCTGGCAACAGTTTTAAATACTTGTATTTTAGAGGCCCTTGTAAACAATGCAGCCAGAAATTGTATTGACATTAATGTTTTTTTAATATCCAAATCAATTAGGTTTTAACAAGAATACATAAATACTTCATTAACGGAGTAAAGTATTGTATGAAATGAAATGTTGTGTGCTTGATGTATGCATGAGAAAGATTTTAGGTATTACAAATAATATTCTAGGGATCATAGATGCACATGTCATCTTATATACATCTGTGAAACTATCACTATGTCACAAAAAACATACTATGTTCAGTCCAAAAACTAAAATGATTATTGTCTACATGAGACTACGTACATTACCTACAGTCTGTCATTTATTAATCTTTGGAAAATCTTCCCAAACATGAAGTAGCTTACTATTGTCACTTATGGCAGAAGTTAACATTTTATTAAATCGAAAATGTAATTCCAATAATACTTACCAAAGCATTGGTCTGATTTTTTCTCACTTGCTCCAGTCTTTTATACCTCACTTAATTGCCCTTGGTGATATTTGTCTCGTAACACTTTCCACCTACTCAATGCACCCTCTGTTCTGGTATTGTATATAAGCACCTCATTCAGATTATGTTATCACTTTTTCAAGACTGACTCAATCCACAGTCTCTAACACCAGCTCTTAGTGAGGAGGAAGGGCTGGAGAGTGTGAGAAGAGTAAGAATTATTGGAAATACATTTCCAATTTAAGAAAATGTTAACTTCCAAAACATACTTACCTCTACTCACACTACATCTAGAATCCTTCATTGATAAGGTGGAGGGGCCAGTGATCGCATTATCCATACAGAAAGCATCTGCACAGTTCATGGTCGTATCAATAGAAGATTGGCACCCTAGTGGGGGAACCACACTACATCCAGAACAAGTATGCTCTTCACTCAGAACTTAATTCATGTACCGTGGGTGGAATTATACATGATTTATCATCACTATTGGCCAGGCCCAACCAGATAGCAAAGGTCCTACTGCTTGGGGTTGGAATTATAGGGCCATGATCCCTATATCCCGCATTGGTGGCTAAGGCAATTAGACCACAATATATACACACACACTCTTATGACTGGATCCCGGCCTGTAGCCATTGAGTGATACATTCAAAGTCATCAGAATCATGACAAGAAGGTAAGCAATACTGAAGTGTACAAACCGTCTCCTCAACCGGAAGAAGTCTGAAATACAACACCTCAGGCTCAGAATGACAGGATACTGTATGCCATACTCATTCTGAGGAAACAGAACTCATCCGGTCTGGAATTATGAACACTCATCTTCACTCCCTAACCCAATAGGCAAGGTAAATTCTTCTTGTCTCTGGAATTATGAGGAAGATGTGGAACAAATTGTGTTCAACCAAGGCCCCAGGATGGAACCACTCTGCGTTCAGAATTATGAGAAGACAATGTACCCTCTTTTATGAACAGTGTAATGAACCATTATTGGAGGAATAACCTCTGTCCACCACACCACTGACTGGAAACCAGGTGTAGTAAGGACTCCCTACTACCTAGCTCCAGTAATAGAACCTCAGAGGGGGGATGCACATTAGGGAGTCTTGAGGAACAGTGCTCTGGAAACAGTGCAACAGGTGAACCAAGTTCTCTAAATTTTTAAAAGCAAACCAGCCCCAATTTATTCAATCCAATGATCAGCAGGCACAGTCAGGATCCCTTTATGCTTTACTCATGATAGTTCGTGAGTGGCAGTCCAGCACAGTAGTAATACCACCTGGACAGCCTTTAGGTGGTCTTATGGAACACCTCATTTCTGCAGAGCCTGTTGCAACCTAGATAAAAGATATTGATTTAGTGGTTGCTAGTTTGGAATTGATTTGATATAGCACACCTGCCTGGGCAACATTCGCCACAGAGTGGGATCCAGTGAAAAAGAGGTAAGGGGCCCTGTAAAGTAAAGAGCCAAGATGAGCAATATAAATACTCACTTCTGCTTATAATCTAGCTGATGTGGTCAAGATAGCTACAATGTAGTCAAAAACTACAATATAGTAGAGGAAGATACTGCCAGAACATGCAAATAATGTGAGATAAAAGTATTGGGAGAGGTCCACATACCAGCCCACCTAATGTCCTCCAGCGAGCAATTCAACAGAGCTGCTAAGGGCATAGAAATGTGATGAATCTGATGAGACATGACTCGCAGAAGTCTCCCTGCCTTCAAAGAGGGCCCAGAATTAGCAATAAGGATCAAT